TGGGGGGGGCTGCCGTGAGGAGCCCCAGGAGCATGGAGCCAGGCGTTCCTCTCCAAACAGATGTTTCCAATAAATCACCAGCGCACCAAGGGCAAAAACAGCTGGGGGCTTGGCAGAGGCCGAGGTGAAGCTTAACCTCTTCACTGCTCTCATGACCCCAGCCAAACTGCCCTTGTCCTTGTCACCCTCCCCCCGACCCACCCATCGCTGTTGCTAAAATCCCAGGATACCCAGAGCAGGAAAATGAATCTCCTGGGTGCACTGGGCCCTCCCCTTGCCTTGCACCTCTGTCTTTTCTAGAATGAGCACTGGACGGGGAGTCAGGAGCCAGGCCCGATTCTGCTGTTCCTTCATGGTGCAGACCTGGGATAGTCCATTCTGCTCCCTGGGCCTCAGTTTCCCCATCTGCAGAGCACACGTCTAGCCGGGTGCCCGTGGTGTGTGTTAGAATAAAGCAGGCAAGATTAGGCAAGCCTTGGGAGACCCTTTCTCATCACCCTTTCTCTCCACCTCTCCAGGCCAGCCGCAGGGGAACCCCTTGGGCTGCACCCCACTACTGCCGAATGGCTCTGGCCACCCCTCAGAGCTGAGCGGCACCAGGCGGGCAGGGAATGGTGCCCTGGGTGGCCCCAAGGCTCACCGGAAGCTGCAGACACACCCATCTCTGGCCAGCCAGGGCAGCAAGAAGAGCAAAGGCAGCTCAAAGTCTGCCACCTCCCAGATCCCCCTCCAGGCGCAGGAAGGTAAGTGCCCGCCCGTCCCCGGGAGGAGCCCCCACAGCTGGTTGCTCAGAGCATGGTCCACACACCATCAGCAGAAGCTCAGCCTCCCTCCAGGTGCACTGGGTCTGAGTCTCCGGGGTGGGGCCTGGGAGCCTGGGTTTTAACAAGCCCTCCAGGGAGCACGGTGCATGCAGAACGGCCAGGGCCCCTGTTGAGTAAAGGGAGGCATCCCTGTTCTCAAGGCTGGCTCTTCCCAAGTTGCTGTAACTGGGTACAGAGCCAACCAGAAGATAGTTTCAGCCTCTTCACTTCTGGGAACGAACGTTTTCCTCGAGGAGTGGACCATCTGTCTAGGGAGAACTGAACACTTGGAATAACGCGATGCTTAACAAGGCGGCTGGTGGCAGGTTGCCACCTTCAGTGGAAGGTCAGAGGACCTAGATATGCCAACCAGTCTTTACTCTTGCAACACAAAGATCCCCTGCAGGGCTGCCCTGGGCAGCCAGCTCCCAGTCCCCACACCGCCAGGCATCCATTCAACTTGGATAGCAAGTACCTGTAGCCTCGTGGCTGCCTGACCTTCACCCTAGAATTTTTTTTTTTTTTTTTGAGAGGTTTTTGCTATAGGGAACATGCGCTTGCCAGAAAGACAGAGAGAGACAGAGAGACAGAAAGTGAGAAATCATCCCCCCAGGGGGGATGGCCACGCTGCAATCCCTTCTCCTCCATTCTCCCCTCAGGATCTTGGGCACGCACGCACACGCACCCGGCGTGAGTTTAAGCCACCGGGTCTGGGGTTTGAACTGCGGTCGGCTACATGGGAGTCCAGCGACATAGCCATTATGCTAACGGCTGGTCCCCACCCCAGAATTTTAAGTGACTCCTGTCCACACTGGCCTGGTCATCTGCTAACAGGATTCGGTTTACACATTTGCACATAGTGTGGTCAGAAACCGCCCACCCCACAGAGGAGCGTCTGCCCGACAGTCTTACGTACGAGGAGGGAGGAGTTCATTCATTTAGAATAGCCGGGGCGTCTGCTGTGTGCTCGTACCCGGTCCTTGCCCTCGTAAAGCTCTCAGGGCAGGCGTTCGCCATAGGCTGTGATGGGTGCACACAGGATCACGTGAACGCACAGACACCCACACCGGCCCAGAAAGCTGGGGGGGGAGGTCTGGAAAGGCTCTGGAGGAGGTGTCTGAGCAAGTCCCGAAGGCCGAGTGGGAGGGCCCCGCCGGGGAGCGTTGGCACAGAGGTGAGAACTGGCTAGGCGGCTGGATGACAAGGTGCCAGGTAAGGCGCGTGGGAGGTAGGACTCAGGCAGACAGGGGCTCTGAGAGGGCCCTGTAAGCACGAACCGGACCTAGGCCTCACCTGGATGGCAACAAGGAGCCATCGAAGGGTCTTAATCAAGTAGTGACCACGTGATTCTGCATTCAGAGCACTACCCACCTCTAGGGGACCCCGGTCATTCCCCACATGAACGCGGGAGGACAGTTGGACTCTCCACAGCAGAGACTCCCAGAGGGCCAGCAGCTTCACAACTGGGGCCCACCCGGTCAAGGCACCTGGGCACTCTGCCCTCAGCCTGGCCCCCAGGAGGGGTACCGGCTCAGCAGCCAGCAGCACACTGAGGGCTTCAGAGCCTAGGCCCTGGAGCCAGCCTGCCTTCGAGTCCCAGCTGGGTGCCCAAGGCTAGGCTCCTGCGTTCATCCTCTATCGTATTCACGCGCCCAGCGCCTGCTGTGTTCAGCACTCCTCGTGTGTCAGGAGCTTCCCTTTCCGTAGGAAATAACGGTGAACGCCAGGAGGCTGTGCAGTACAGAGGCAGGTGACGGGGCTAGAACTGGACCTGGGCTGCTCTGTTCTCCGGGCCTCGGCTTTCCCAGCTGCAGGATACAGATGTAGCTGTGGTGTCTCTAAGAATGAAGCAGGCACGATTAGACAGCGCTCTGAGAAACTGGCTGGGCCCCACCCTTCCCCACTGCCCTCTTTTTTTCCTTTTTTTCCAAAGGGCATGTGTGCTCTCCAGAGAGAGAGAGACGGAGGAAAAGTGAAAAATCATCCCCTGGTGGCATGGCCACACCAGAATCCCTTCTCCTCCATTCTCTTCTCAGGATTTGAACACACATGCACATGTACCCAGTGCGTTTTTCAAGCTGCCGGGTATGGGACTTGAACACACATTTGGCCATGTGAGATCCAGATGCACACCATCTGGCTAACTCCCTCTCTCCCCTACTGCCCTTTCTATCTCTGCAGGCCATCCTCAGGGCTGCACCCGAGTATTCTGAATGTCTCTGGCCACCCCTCAGAGCTGGGTGGCTGGGGTGGACATGCTGGTCCTGGTTGCAGTATTGAGTGGGGGTGGTGGGAGTCTCACTGACAGGTGACGTTCAGGCAGAGGAGGGAGAGGGTGAGCCCAATCTGTATTTGGGGCAAGATTGTTCCAGGCAGGGGACAGTGACTGCAGGGCTGCGGGGCAGCCATGGGGCTGGCGTGGCTGGAGCAAAGTGATCGGGAGGGGAGGGCAGAAAGACGAAGCATCTGAGGATCGCTCTGGCTGCTGTGTGGACAGCAGGCGCTGGGAGGGGCTGTGGAGGCAGGCGGTGGAGAGGCCAGCGAGGAGCTATCAGAGTTCCGGAGGTGAGAGAGGATATGGGCTATCTCCTCTGTGCCCCTACTTTCTTGTCCCAGAGAGGGCCTAGCAGCCCTGACTCACAGAGGTGTGGGAAGTCGAAGAGAATTTGATTCAGGCACAGCGCTTAGAACAGGGCGGGGACGGCACCCTTAAATAAGTAAACGGACGGTGGTTGACAGCAGGGACTCACACTCCAGACTGCCTGCGCTGGAACCCCACTGAGAAGTGCCTGCCCCCACCCCCCCATCCCCGGGCCTCGGGCTCGCCCTGCACACCCGGGCGGGGCGGCCGTGAGCTTACTGCACCCCGCGCACTGGGCGCCCTGCGGTCCTGCGGTGCGGGTCTCCGTGCCCCTGCCCAGGCACCCACCCTCGCCCGCCCGCCCTCCCGCCGCCCCCCTGGGGCCCCTTCCGCCCCCGCCGCCCCCTGCCTCTGCTGCTGCTGCTGCGGCTCGGGCGAGTGCGCCGACTGCGACCTGCCCTGCGACCTGGACTGCGGCATCCTGGACGCCTGCTGCGAGTCCGCCGACTGCCTGGAGATCTGCATGGAGTGCTGCGGGCTCTGCTTCTCCTCCTGACCTGCCGGGGTCCCGCAGCGCCACGCGAAGCTTGAGAAGCCCCTCCCCTCGGCCCTCTCCCACCCTCCCAGTGTCCTCTAGAACCCCAGGCCTGGAGAGAGGGGAGCACTCCGAGGGGCCACCTCAGCCTTGGGAGCTGGGCCCACGGCAGAGAATCCTGTCCTCGCTGGGCTGTGGGGGACAGACCGCACCGAGGACCTGGCAGGGTGGGGGCAGCCCGGGGCCAGCTGCCAGGGCTACAGAACACTGTGAAAGTCAGGGGAGGGGCAGGGCCGTGGGGGGCAGGCTGGTGGGCGTGCCTCTCTCTCTCTCCCGCTCCAGATGCCGCTTCCCCCCTGCCCAGCTTACCAGAGGGCAAAATGTGAAAAGAGACACCCACCCCGCCCTGGGCTGCCGGGCCCTCCCCAACCTCCTTTCCCAGGCTCTGGTGGGGGCCTAACCCGTGCAGTGACCGGGTGTAGGGTTGGGGCGGGGTGGGAGGTGGTACAGTATGGAAAAGACTGGAAGGGGCAGGGCGGGAATGGAGGGAGGGTCTGTTCTACTTGTTGCTGTAAATAAAAATATTTGTCCATCTCAGATTTCCTCAAGAGGCAAGACCAATTTCTGCAGAACACCACTCAAAAGCACACACTTGGCCCTGCACAGTTCAAGTCCTGGACCCAGCGGCTTAAAAATCATTCAGGGGTACCAGCACATCGTGAAGTGGTTGCATGGCTGGACTCCCACGTAGTTGACTGCGGTTCGAATCCCAGACCTGGAGGCTTAAAACACACCAGGCGCATGTGCGTGTGTGCCCAAGATTCTGTGAGGAAAATGGAGGAGAAGGGATTGCAGCACGGCCATCCCCCCTGGGGGTGATTTCTCACTTTCTGCCCTTCCATCTAGTTCTGTCTCTGCCGAGTGCACGTGTCCTATAGCAAAAACTTAAAAAAGAAAAGCACACGCTCCCCCCACCCCCTACAAACTCCCAATCCCAGATGAGTAAGGCCTCCTGCCCACTGGAGTCCCAGGCCCCTCTGCTCCCCTTACTGCAGCAAGCTTCCCTGCTTGTCACAGTCCCCTCACCAGAGAGAGACAGAGACAGAGAGAGAGAGAGAGGAAGGACGAGAGGTGCGACTCCCCCACCACCCACTTTCCTCCTCCCACCAAGGGAAGGGGCTGTTCTGGGAGGGAAGAGTTAAAGCTCAGCCTAGAATTCATTAACAACAGATGTATTTGGGCTTTGATGAATTAATCTTCTGCTGACTCCAGCTTCTCCCAGCTCTTCCCCATGAAGTGGCTCCAAGGCCCAGGGTGAGCCCATGTCACGCAGAGGGATGCCCATGGAGGGAGGGGCTCCAGGCCCCCCTCAGCCTGGGCTTGCACCTGGACTTCCCTGGGAGGCAAACCACGGCCAGTAGGAGTCGTTCACCCCATATTATCACTCTCCGATGCCAGGGGCAGAGAAAGAAGGAAACAGTGTCAGGACTCCAGGAGCCTTGGAAACCACCTGTCCAGGGCCCGTGGTGCTCAGGGGAGGCAGGGCGGACCTCCTGCATTGGGTCTCATAGGCGCACACGGGGAGGGCTGGCTGGCCCCGAAGGAAGCCAGGAGAAAGCCAGGAGGACTGTCCCAGCCATGGCGGTTGGACCCGTCTTCCTAGGACACCGAAGGCATTGGACAGAGGACGTCAGGGCTCCCGGAGGAGAGAGTTCTCCTCTCACAGGCCTGCTGGCAGTCCGAGAGCACTGGTTCTGGATGTGGCCCCTCCAGGGGGAGTGAGGCGGTCACACGTTTGGGGACTTGAATTGTACTGAGCGAGGATTCAGCTGGAGAAGGCCTTCCTTAAGGGGACAGTGCTGGTACTGCTGCCAGGGCCAAGGGCTGCATGTTCTGAGAGTGGCGGTGAGGACTGACCCCAGCCCCCACCCCGCCCACCCACACAGGCCTCACTCTGCAGCTTTTGTAGGAGTTCGCTGACCTCCGGGACCACACAGGAAGCTCAGGACATGGACAGGAAGGGACCTGGCTCTGCCCCGGGTCCCAGTCAGGTCGAGAAAGAAGCCCCTGGGCCTCCACGCACACGCCCATGTTGTGCGTATTCATTTATAGATGTTTGTTTAGTTATTACATGGCCAAGGTCCTCCATCTCACCAGTCAGATCTGGGCATCCACAAGCATTCACATGGGTGTGTTTTCTGTCTACAAAAGTGTGAGGGTGGGGCGGCCAGGTGGCCTGGTGGTTAGGGCAGCTGGATCCCACGTGGCTGACTGCACGTTTTGAGTCCCAGCCCGGCAGCATGAGAAACACTCTGGGCACGTGTGTAAGTGCCACCCAGAGAGGAGACTGAAGGAGAAGGAACTACAGCATGGTCATTCTCTCTCCCTCTGTCTCTTTCTCTCTGAAAAGCACATGGTCCCTATAGCAAACTAAAAAAAAATTAATTTTAATTTTAAAAACAGTGCGGGTGCTATTCACACTGTCCTGTAACTTGTATGTTGCCTGGCTGTGCCTGGTGGGGGGGGCTCCTTAGCAGCCCACAGAAGAGCACCCTGGAGTCTGCGGGAGGAAAGTGCCCTGTCCTGTGGCCTGGCTCTGCTGTACTCCGGCTGTGGGGACACACCCTCTCGCATGAATGAGCCCCATGGTAGAATATTCCCGCACGTGGGGTTCCTAGGCCGAGGCAGCACTCGTGACAGTGCCAGCCTGCTGGTGGCCTCCACTCACATGGCGTCTGGGTGTCCACTCTCCCACCCGGCTTTCTATCTGGGAAGCAGAGACAATGGCGGGAGGGGTTTCCCCAGGCTGGGGTCTGAGGATGTCCCGCTGCCAGGAGGATGGCCGGGCGGTTCCTGGCCAACTCCAAGCCTGGTGCAGGTAGGCAGGAAGCCCCCTCCTGGCCCACCTCCCCCGCGGGGGCGAGTCAGGAAGAGGCGCCTCTGCAATCCAAACAGCGATTTCCTGCTGCAGGCGCTGGGCTGTTTTCTTTAGGACAGTGGCTGAAACCCGAGAGGCTGAGCTGGGTGGGGGTGGGATAGGGAAGGAGATAGCCAGCCCCCAGTACGCGCACGCGCACACACTCTCCACAGTCACACGTACCAGCCTCGCCCCACATACACATACATGTGCATACACTCAACACGGCCCACATTCCAGGGCCTGCAGCTCCTGCAGCCCTGGCCAGCCTGGGGCTCCGCCGAAGAGACCCAGGGCCAGGTCACCCTGCTGGGAAGCAGATGGCATTTGTTTTAGAGGCCACCTACCCACTGCCCCTGCCCACATGTCCTCCTAAGGCCATCCCTGGTCCTGGGCTCCTCCCCTCTCCCATGGTGATTCTGTCGGCTCCCAATCTCTGTTTTCCAACCAACAAGTCTGAGCCAGCTGACAGTTCTGGGGCTGGCTCTGCCATACGTCCAGGGACAAGGCCCTGTTGCTCTCTGGGCCTGCCTTTCCTGGTGTGCACAATGGAACAGCAAGGAAACTGGGGTCTACAGGTGGTCACGGTGCCCAGGGACAGCCATGCCTCTCATTCCCTTCCATCTCAGGAGCAGCAGACCAAACCACTTTTGTCCAGGAGACTTCTTGGGGGCCACCCTCACCCTGGGTTGTCGACAGCTAGGTGGGCATCCCCGTGCACGTGGGAGATGAGGCCAAGTTAAGTTACCCCTGGCCAGGGCCACCATGGGCACTCAGAGCCAAGGGCGAAGCCTGGGGCAGGTTTAGGAGGGGCGGGGCAGTCTCTATCAGCATCTCCCGGTGGCTGAGATGGTTACTGGCATTCCCTGTTCTCACCCCCAGGGGGCACCCTGCGCTGCAGAGCACACCACCTTGGCTGCTCCAGAGCTGATGCTGGGCTGGGCAGGTTTGCTCCTGCCTGGGGCCTTCACCAGCTCCCCCTGGAGACGGTCCAGTCCTGAGGGACCGGGCGCTGGTCCCTGAGCTCTCAGGACAGCTGCTGCGGGACTCCCTGGTGTTGAACCATGGGCAGCAGGACTCCGTTACAGCGGGGACAGAGGGCCGCCTTCAGGACTGACCCCTGTGCAGAGAGGAATGGAGATGCAGGGCCATCAAGCTGCCGGTGGGGCCTCAGGGGGCCAGAGATCATAGACCTGACCCTTGTCACCTCCACGTGATATTCCTTTCCACGTGACCTTCATAGCACGGTGAGGACACATGAGATGGGATGGCACCTGCGGCCACAGCCCTCCTGTCTCCCCCAGCTGTCCCCTCCTGCCAGCCTTCCATGACCTCACCTGATTCCCTCCATCCCTGGCCCACAGCCTTACCATCTCCAGGTCTGCTTTGTGCTGGGTAAGCCCGGATTCCCTCTTCCTGCAGACAGGCATGGAGGGCCAGGGGAGGGTCCTCACACCCTGTGTCTACTTGACTCTGTGTCTGCTTTACCCCTCAGCGGGCCACAGAGCAGAGGCCAGAGAAAGACTCTGATTGGCCCAGCATTAGCCACAGGCTCAACCCTGGGCCAATCGCCATTCCAGGGAAGGAGGGCGCGATTGGCCAGGCCTGTCATGTGTTGGTCCTGTGTCCAGGGAGGGTGGGTTATGTGGCCGTCTCCCTAGAACCATGCAAAATCTGGGAGGGGAAGCTGCCCAAGAAGTAGGACTGATATAATGTAAGAGGGGGGACGGCTGGCTGGTTCAGACAGCAGGAGTCACGATGGGCCCATTACCATGGGTGGGTATGGCACTGCTGCCTGGGTGGGGGAGGCCGGCAGGAACCCCGAGTTGTCAGATGCAGCTCAGGGCACTGGGTGGCAGAGAAGTCAGCATGACACTTAGGGAGCAGAGCAAGGCTTAGTTCAGACTCCAGCAAGCAGAGCAGGAAAACCAAGGAGGAGACAGAGCCAGGATTTTGGTTCAACCTCCCACAAGAGAAAGCACTAACAGAACCGCCAGGAGTGGGATGGACCACCGTGGCAGGGGCGGGTCCTTCCTGTCAAGGACTGTTCTGGGGGAGGGAAGGTAGAGGGACCCCTGCTCAGGTGACTGGGAGGCAGGGAGGGCAGATGGTACAGGGTTATTGCAGGTGGCCAGCCCCACAATTCCTTCTTTACTTTTTAAAAGAATTATTTATTTTATTTTATTTATTTATTTATTTATTTATTTATTTATTATTGTTCAATTTAGCCAGAGAGAGAGAAGGAGAGTGAGAAAGCAAGTCACCAGCCAGTCCAGGACTCGAACCATAGTCAGCCATGTGGGACTCCAGCACTTTAACCATCACAACACCTGCCAGCCCCTCCTTCTTTCATTTTTATTGCCAGAGGGTGTGTATGCTCACCGGGGAGAGCCAGAGAGACAGAGAGAGGGAGAGTGAGAAAGCAGTCCCAGCAGGGCATGGTCATGCCTCCATCCCTTCCTCTCTCCATCTCTTGGCATCTGGGGGCACGCACACATACACACCCAGCATGTTTTGCAAGGTGCTGAGCTGCTTGGTCAGCCATGTGGGATCTGGCTCCCTTAACCACTAGCCCATGGGCCAGCCCCACGGTTCCTCATAACTCAGGCCTTCTGTGGCTCAACAGTGGCCAT